TGTCCTAGAGTAGGAAGGATTAGGTCATTAAAAGTACACTATGGCTGGGGTTGTGGCTCAGTGGTAGAGCACTCACCTAGCACACACAAGGCCCTGGGTTCAATCCTCAGCACCACATTAGAAAAACAAATAAATAAATAAATAAAGGTATTGTGTACAACTACAACAACAACAAAAAAAAAACCCCAAATATTAAAAAAAAAGTACGCTATGTTCTACGTTCAAGTGAGTTCTTACTTTGTAATTCTAATGCTATCTGACAAATTAACCAAATCATTAAGAGTTATAGGCTATACACACACAGTGCTCACAGCATGCCAAATCTGCAGGAAGCTATACTTTTAACTACAGGAGGATAACATCACCCTCCCCTTATCGCAAATCACTTGCACTACTTGAAGACTTTAATAAAAGTGTTGCAAGCAGCCATTGCAAATTGGGGCCCTGGAGTAGACGGACTGACTCCTATTTTGAGAATCCCATCCAGAATACATYTGCCCCGTGTGAGTCACAATTCCCCAATCCTTTATGGGCCTTATTCGCAATTGTTTTTGAACTAACTGACTTGATTTTTAAAAATCGTTTATCTCTTTTTATTACTTTTTTCTATTTGGGGACATCTCCCTGCACTTCAGACTGGGTCTTTGAGTGTGCTGGCGCTGGAGCCGGCATCCCCTTCCCGGGGGCGGGGCCAGGCTGGCGGGAAGGCGTTCCGTAGCCCAGATCCGCCMGTTGGGGGCGAGGAAGACTTTTTTCCTCCTCCCGCTTTCCGTTCTCGGAGCATGGCGGCCCCCGTGGTCCGCCTGTGGCTCGGCCTTCAGCCGGGGGTTAGGACTCTGCGTGCCCTCTCCACCGTCGTGTCCCCGGCCACTCACGCTCGGAGACCTGGCCTGCGTGAGTGTCTGCCGAGTTGCCTCCAGGTTTGGGGGGAGGTGAAAGGGCGGAACACCGGCCCGTCCAGGCCGTAGAGTCCCGGGCAGAGGCCGATTTTCCTCTGCCGGCCTTTTCCCGGCGGGGCCACTAGGAAGGCCGCAGGTGTGGGTCTGTCCTCTGCCCCCGGGTTTCCTGGCTGCCCGCTTCTGCGTGTTCTGGACACTAGCCCAGAAAGTTTGCTCTCTTTCGCGGTGACCGGCATTTTCTGGTGTTCYCACCCCCCGGGGCCACGGCCCGGGTCTCCCTCTTGTTACTAGTGCTCAATGATAAGGTTTGTCGGCAGTGATTGAACCTTGGAGTTTCCCTAATATTTAAAAGGTATACTGCTGTGCCAGAAGAAAGTACAGCTGGGAATCCCAGGTCACCAAATGGGATGACCTTCATTCCAACAGAGATTATAGGGATGCTTGATAGCGTTCTTGACAGAGAAAGATAGTGGAAAAGACAAATTTGTTGACAGAGAAATACTGTGTAGTGTATTTCTCATACTTATCAGAGCACAGTGTCAAGCCATCCCATCTGACTTCCAAGGGCTTTTCGTGTCTTTAAAATAAATTGTAAATTCCTTAATGCATCAATAGTGGCTCCTCATAGCCCTAACACTGTTTATTTTAAATTTTTTATTCTCTGAATACTTAACTTCTACTGTATGCTAGATAGTGCCCTAGATATTGGGGATACAGCAAAGTCCCTGAGCTAGTGAAGTTTACATCCTGTTGGGAAAGTCTGAGTAAAAAAAAAAAAAAAAAAAGTAAACCAGCTATATAAAATTCAAGTATTATAGATGAATGGATAAAGAAAAAATGTGGCATATATAACAATGGAATAGTACTCAGCAATAAAAGAGAATAAAATGATGGCATTTGCAGGTAAATGGATGCCATTGGAGAATATAATGCTAAGTGAAGTTAGCCAATCTCCAAAAACCAAATGCTGAATGTTTTCTCTGATATAAGGAGGCTGATTTATAGTGGGGTAGGGAGGGGGAGCCCCGGAGGAATAGAGGAACTCTATATAGGGCCGAGGGGAAGGGAGGGCGCATGGGGTTTGAAATGATGGTGGAATGTGATGGACATTATTATCCAAAGTACATTTATGAAGCTATGAATTGTGTGAATATACTTTGTATACAGCCATAGATTTGAAAAATTGTGCTCTATATGTGTAATAAGAATTGCAATGCATTCCACTGTCATATAAATTTAAAAATTAATTAAAAATTAATTAATTTACTGTTTTAAGTGGATACTGTTAGGAAGAAAAATAAAGCAGAATATTGAGAATGGTGTATTGGTCAAGTGTTTACTGTTAGGAAGAAAAATAAAGCAGAATATTGAGAATGGTGTATTGGTGGAGTAGTGGCTATAGGGTAGGATGAGATAGTCAGGAAAGACTTCTGAGGAAGTAAATCTTAAACAGAGCCTAGAGATATACAGTATTTGGGATAAGACCATTGTCAGCCTAGGAAACTACAAGTGAAAGGCCCACAAGTAAGAATAAGCTTAGCGATGTAATCAAGGACAGAAAGAAGGCCAACTTTCACCTAGAACTAGTGAGCAAATGGGAGAGTGGTAGGACAAGATGTCAGAGGTAATGGACTGCTCTTATAAATGGTTTGGAAGCATTTGGTTTTGGTATTTGGCTTGAATTTTATTAAAAGCTGGGGATCACGTTGGATAGCTGCTGGCTTTGAACAGGGAAGTGATGTGATTTGCACTTTTAAAAGGCCCTGGCTGCTGAATGGATAAAAATGGAGAATTAATTTTGGAGGGTAATAGTGGAAGCCAGAGACTACTGTTGCAGTAGTCTGAATGTCTTGATGGTGTCTTGAGGTTATAGGAAAAAAGTGGTGTAGTTGGATTTAGGATTTTGAAGTTTGGGCTGATAGGATTTATTGATTTGTTGTGGTCCTTGAGGAGAGGTCTCAAGGAAGCTTGTTAAGATTTTTGTCCTGAGCAATTGGATGAATATTGCAGTACCATTTAAATGGATTGGGAAGACTGGAAGAAATAAATGAAGAACTCTGCCAAGCATTTATTATAATTGAGACATCCATTAAATATCTTTAGCCTCTTTTTTGCTCTTCAGTTCTCTCACTGTTCTCTTACATTTTCAGCCATATTGAATTTGAATTTGTTTACCTACATTGATTTTCCAAATTTTTTTCTAAATACTTTTTCTTACCTGTTGGGTGCTTGGGCTACATACTACTCATCATTCAAGTTTTGGCTTAAAGTTTACTTCCTCTGGGAGGTTTCCCACAACCATATTAGTTACTGTTCCCAGGAGAGACAGAACTGGTAGGATGAATGGAAAGGTGGATAAGTAGATGAAGGGATTTATTAAGGGAATTGGCTCAGRTTCAAGGAGGCTGAGAAGTCCTATAACAGACATCTACAAGCTGGCAACACAGGGATGTCAGTAGAGTGGCTCAGTCCAAGTCTGAGAAGAAAAGTATTCTAGCTCCAGCAGAGTTAAACAAATTCACCTTTCCTCTGCCTGTCAATTTTATCCTTCCCCTCATGGGGGGGATTAAGAATGGAACTTATCCACTCAATCTACTGACTCACACACTAATCTCCACTGGAAATACCCTCACAGACACACCCAGAAATAATGCTTTACCAGCCATCAAGTTATCTCTTAATTCAGTCAAGTTGGTACCTCAAATTAACAAAAATGCTGGCCTTAGTGGCACATGCCTGTGATCCTGGGTACTTGAGAGACTGAGACAGGAAAATCTCAAAAGTGTGAAGCTAGCCTGCGCAATTTAGTGAGAACCTGCCTCCAAATTTAAAACAGAGCTGGGGACAGCTCAATGGTAGAGTGCTTGTCTACATGCATGAGACTCTATGTTCCATACCTGGTAACTAATACACACACACACACACACACACACACACAAACAAACAATTAGTTGACTAGATTCAGTTCCTTGCTGTATGTATCCATAATAGTACACTGTTTATTGAAATCACTTGCTAAAATTCTGCCTTATTTGACAGATTCTACATTCTGTGAAAGGAAGGACTGTCTCTTTTGTTCTTTGCTGACTTCCTAGTTTCTGGTACACAACAGCACTTAAATTTATCAATGAGTGAATGGTAAAGTATTGTGGGATGAAATGAAATATGTCAGATGAAGAAATGGAGTGAATAGGGATGGGGCAGGAGCCAGGAAGATGGGAGGCACATTATAAGTAAAGAACAGAAAGTTGAGAGAAATACTAAAGGGTCTGGTACTTGAAGTTCATTGTAGCTGCAGAACCTTGTAAGGGAAAGTGATCAAATTATGAAGAGTCATACTTTTGTCACCTTAACTTCTTGCTTTTTAGTTTTCTTGAATATAATAGACCTTTAAGAAGGATAATAATAGTACTTGTGTTTGTTGTAATGAGTAAGATTAAATGAAATAATGAAAATCATTTAGTACAGTGTCTTCATGTGAAAATGCTCAATAAATATAGCTGTTCTAGGATAGCAAAACATTCATTTAGATGTTTGAAGTAATCCACATTCTTCTATAATCATGTGATTGGTAGGAATAGCCAGTTTTGTTATTGGTGTTAATTATTGTATCACTGGCTTTTCTAATATATAATAGAGAAGAAAAAACTGAAGGGCTGACATTTTGATAGAATAGAGTGATTCCAAATATGAGCAAGTATATTTATAATTAGGACATTTCAAACCAATCATCTTTAAATATTCGGAATACTTATTTTTATACTTATAATTAGGACATTTAAAACCAATTATCGGGCTAGGGATGTGGCTCAAGCGGTAGTGCGCTCGCCTGGCATGCGTGCAGCCCGGGTTCGATCTTCAGCACCACATACAAACAAAGATGTTGTGTCCGCCGAAAACTAAAAAATAAATATTAAAAAATTCTCTCTCTCTTTCTCTCTCTCTCTCTTAAAAAAATTATCTTTAAATATTCAGAATATTTATTTCTAACTAGGTATTTTAACTTGGGARAGTAAGTTTATTTTACTGTGAACCTTAAAATTTACTGAAAAATATTTCTCYAGATGATGAGTTCACTGTATCAGCAATCAAAATAAACTTTATGTAACTGTGAACTTTTAAAGACTATTTGTTTTTGTTAAGATGATTTTAATCTGAACTTAAAACAGATTGTCATTTCATGCTTATGTTACTAAGTATTGTTTTTTTTTTTTTTTTGAGGGGGGGGTGTCTTGAACTCAGGGATTGAACTCAGGGGCACTCAACTACTGAACCACATACCCAGCCCTATTTTATATTTTATTTAGAGGCAGGGTCTCACTGAGTTGCTTAGGCCTTGCTAAATTGCTGAGGCTGGTTTTGAATTCTTGATCCTCCTGCCTTATCCTCCCGAGCTTCTGGGATTACAGGCATGTACCATCATGTCCGGCACTAAATATCTAAAATTGTTTTAGCAAAAAGGGATAATGATGACTGTTGAACAACTCATAAAATCTTCTATCCCTATTATGTTATCTTTTAGGTACAATAGAAAGAACATCCAAAAGTGAAAGGCAGCTGAGAAGAAAGGTAAAACAATTTATATACTCTACTATACACTATTTTAATGATTTCTGAAATTCTAAAGAGAGGCAGATGCTCATTACAATGCAGAAGGGTTCTGTTAGAGAAGGCTTCACAAAGTCATGTTTATTGGGTGATTGCCACAGTCCCAGTAGGGGTTGTTCATCTTTGACCTTTTTTGCTCTGTACCCATAAAATGGGTCATCTTTAAGAGGTATACTCACTCATACTCCCAGGAAACAGAATATAGAACTATTTTTTATGATGCCCTTGTCAGTCATATAGCTTGGGTGTATGCATTCATCCAACCGGTCAGTMTTACCCTGTAGGTATCTCTATGGAGGAATCCAAATTATAAGGTCAGTTGATGAGCTTGGAGTCAGAACAAAAGCACATTAGCTGGAAGTTAAGTGGCACCAAATTGCAATCATCTAGGCRGTAGTTTTTGTAGGAATATTACCTGCTTCTAGGACATACACTATACTGGTTTTGATGTTGCTTAGATGGACATTGCTGCATTTTGCCACCTTAAAGCCTACTTTTGTATGCTAGCCATCCTTCTACCATTAAAAAAATATGTATTGTGTGTGTTTTAATATATGTATTTTAAAACACATACATACGTGTGTGTGTGTGTGTGTGTGTGTGTGTGTGTGTGTGTTAATATGATTGACTAAGCTATCAAGTAGTTTTTCTCTGGGCTCGGGAGACATATAATTTCTCATTATGTATTTATTCAATCTGTTTAGCCCTAATTTACTTATTTCCAAGTTCCAAGTACTTATTTTTTTATTTCCAAGTTCTTAGTGTTCCCTTATATACTGACTTCCATGAAAGAAATATTGTATGATATATAAATAAATATACTGCATAAATAAAATATAAAACAACTGCCAAAAGTCTAATTAAATAATCAATTTTTAGTGAAGGAAATGTGACATTAAAGGAGATCTTTGCCAGAGAGTTTGAAGATACAATTCAGAGATTATTTAAGTAGGTTTTTCATTTGAACAGCAATAGATTTATTGGAGGCAAGATTTTATATAGGTTGCAATTCCACTTTTATTTCTCATAATTACTGCTTATGGTTTAAAATTAAAGAATATGTTTTAAAATTTTAARTATTTTATGTTTCTTAGGCACTGCCTCCTAGGACAGAGAAAATGGCTGTTGACCAGGACTGGCCTAGTGTTTACCCTGTTGCAGCACCATTTAAACCCTCCACAGTACCTCTACCTATTCGAATGGGTTATCCAGTAAACAAAGGAGTGCCTATGGCAAAGGAGGGAAATCTGGAACTTTTAAAGGTAAGATTAACTGCTAGTATATTGGCTCAGACATACCTAAACAAATGCTGATCTCCCCTCTATTCCCACCCACCTTCAAGGTTCAGTATATAGCAGCATATTGTATTTTAATTTAAATTTTCTTTCCAGGTGATAATATTGTACTTTGATCATTCATGATACAAAAGATTCAAAGAATCCTAAGCCTTTGAGAATGTAATTAATCAGTCTGTGTCTTTCCTTGTAGCCTCTAAGAATAGTGAAATAAGCTAATTTGAGATTGAGAATCAGGATGTGAAGATTCCATTTTTTTTCTTTTTTTATTATTTATTTATTTTGCATTACAATTCTTAATACACCATTATACAATAATTTATCATATCTCTGATTATATATAAGGTATGTTGACACCAAATTCACATCTTCATACATGTATTTTGTATAATGATGAGGGTCTCCTTTCACCATCCTTAAGATTCCATTTTTAAAAGAGGAATTTTAAAACTTTCTTTCCAGAAAGGTAGAATATTGTTTAATATTATTGTGATAGTCCACCAACTTTACCTGATTTATTGCTTAAAACAGAATAGTTCATTTTAAAAGCTTCATTTGATAGTATCTATAATGATTTATGTATTTAAAAATAAAACATAAATGCTTAGTCTGAGAGTACATATCTTAGATGATTTCCTTTTAACATACAATGGAAGTTATAGTAGAAAAGGAACTATTTTCCACTAGATGAGAGTCTTCTTTCAGAATCAAAAAAATTTTATTTAAAAGGTGATGTTAAAAAGTGAAAAGGGGGGTCTGCTTAGTGGCAGAGCACTTCCCTGGCATGAGTGAGGCACTGGGTTCAATCCTTAGCACCACATAAAAATGAAACAAATAAAATAAAGGCATGCTGTCCATCTATAACTACAAAGGGAAAAAAAAAAAACTTAAAGTGAAAAAGGAAGAGGAAGAAGCAGTACTCTGCTACTGGACAAAGTGTAAATCAAATTTGGAAATAGGAATACTTCAAGAGAYACAAGAAAGCAAACATTGAGGAAAACAAACCTTTTCTTCAAATGAAGAGAAAGAGAACTTAATTGAAAGGGAAGGCCTTTGGAAAATGTCACTGGGTGGGAGAGAACAGCAGTATATTTATAATAATGTTGATGATTGTGAATGGTATCTTAATAAATATAAAAATCCAAACATTTAMTGCATGCCATCTATTCAAAAAGTCACAGTATCATTGAATACACTTAACTAAGCTAATGTGTTAAAATGCTTAGAACATTGCCTATGTAAATCCATGTAAACAACGTAAGCTATTATTTTTTCTTTTTATGAACTTGAGGTTTACATTTTCATGTTTCAAAAATATAAACTGAAAGYAGTGGTGAGAGGCTATAATACCACTGCTTTCGGGGGCTGAGGCAGGAAGATCACGATTTCAAGTCCAGCCTGTACACATAGCAAGACCCTGTCTCAAAAAAATAAAAGTATAGTAAATGAAGCCACCCAGCCCATAATTCCAATGGTCAGTGCCTATTTTAATATTGTAAAAGAACTATCAGATTTTATATGCTACATAGTTTATTGGCCTATGATTTAGCTTTATGAGGAAAATTACTTTTTTAAATGTTTTTATTATATTTAACTACCGGACCTATAGTTCTAGCTCTTTAGGAGACTGAGACAAAAATCTAACTTGAGCCTACAAGTTCAAGACCAGGTCACCTTGGGCAACCTAGAGAGACATTGTCTCAAAAAAAAAAAAAAAAGTTGGGCTGGGGATGTGGCTCAAGCGGTGGCGCGCTTGCCTGGCATGCATGCGGTGCTGGGTTCGATCCTCAACACCACATACAAATAAAGATGTTGTGTCTGCCGAAAACTAAAAAATAAATATTAAGGGATTCTCTCTCTGTCTCTCTCTCAAAAAAAAAAAAAAAAAGCTGTAATTTATTCTTTAAAATTTTCTATTTTAGATTCCCAATTTTCTGCATTTGACTCCTGTAGCAATTAAAAAACACTGTGAAGCTCTTAAAGGTAAGTGATATGTTTTCAAATAAACTTTATGTTGACTTTGAACAACATTTAAAAATTTAAAGACAGATTTTTAAAAAATTGATAATCTCAGGTCTGATGAGATTCAAAGTACTTAGAATAGTGCCTGCATAAGTCCATGTAAACATTAGCTATTATATTCTGATTGTCAGTTTCTTCTTCTTGTTTTTTTAAAGTTTTTTAGTTATTGATGGACTTTTGTTTTATTTATTTATTTATATGCAATGCTGAGAATTAAACCCAGTGTCTTACACACGATAGGTAAGCACTCTGCCACAGAGCTACAACCCCAGCCCAGTTTCTTCTTTTTTAATGAAGGATTTTTAAGTTGTTTTCAGTGAATTATTAGATATCAAATCTGCAACTTTTTTCCCCTCACCACTCTAGACAGTAACAAAGAGAAATTGAAACCATAATCCTTGCTCACATGTTATGAACTTACTGTTGAGTTGTTAAGTCACATACATTAAAAAAATTGAAGAAAATATTGCAGTTTTGCCAATAAATACAAATCAATATGATTCAAACTGAGGATAATAAAGAAGAATGCTAAGTATCACAATAGTCAGTGGGTTCAGTAATGGGATACAACACAGGGAACAGCTATTTTGATGAAATTGTTAAGATTTTTAAAAAATTAGAAGTGATATATGCATATGGTGAATCAAAAGAAGTCTTATGTTTTCTTTTCCATACCAAGCCCATTATTCTAGAAATGTTCTCTTTTAATCATTATTTAGTTCTAGTGATTACTTTCAGAGAGTATTTATTTATACTTATGTTTATAACAAGTACTTTTTATGTTGTGTGTGTATAGAATAAATAATAAAAGTAATCACCAGAATGTGAATTAACACCTCCAGTATGGATTTATTAATTTTTGATCAATATCTATTGATTCATAGGCATAAACATAGATTTCACCCACTTATACTAATTACTACTTCTCCTTACATGCATAAAGGAAAAGACAAATTTTTGTTCATGGTTCTATGTGTTTTCCTAATTATGTATACATTCCAAATTAATTTTGATCTAATTTGCATTGGACTATATATAGAATAAGCACATTTTGAATTGTTCCTGGTTCATAGCTATTAGTGATTGATTTTGTAGTTTAACTCAAGAGTTAGTTCCTTTGGATAAAGTCTTAATGTATTAATGCAGACTAAAAAATGTATAGCTGGCACAGTAGTCCACTCCTGTAATCCCAGGTACCTGGGAGGCTGAGGAATGAGGATTGCAAGTTCAAGGCTAGCCTTGGCAGCTTAGCAAGACCCTGTCTCACAACAAAAAATAAAAAAAGCGCTGGGAATGTTGCTTAGTGGTAGAGTGTGCCTGGGTTCAATACCTAGTACTATAAAAAAGTAAAAATTTAAAATAGAATTTTTTTTTAAAGTATTGTATAAATGTTCAGCATACTTGTTAAGGCTTTTCAGGGAGAAAAAAGAAACCCAGAAACATTTTATAGGTAAGTTGTTTATGTTGGAAGGAAATATAGGATAATGAACATAATTATGATTCAATCTGAGCTTTTGGGAGGACATTACATTAAAAAATATAAGGGAAAAGGTATCAAAGTGTCCTAAATCAGAGGAATAGTAATTTTCTCTTAAAATGAGGATAGAAAAACCTATTTTATTTATGTGGTCCTTTGCTTTGGGATAATGCAATGGCCTTTTCAGGTGTCTGTTTTTATTTGTGCTTAGAATTGAACTAAAATTGATGACTATTCCAAATTTTTGTGCCTTTTGGCACAAATCAGTATCCCTTTTTGATCCTTTGTAATGTCAGTTAACAAGTGCATTACTCTACACTGTGATAAATTCCAATTTTCTTCTTTTTAAACACTATTTTTAAATGTGTGTTTATAATCTAGTATTTGCTTATYTTAATGAAATACTTCTAAAATTCCTAATTTTTAAACCAAAGGCATTCATATGGCACATTTAGAAGAGTAGCATTTCTAAAAAATATTTTTAGTTGTAGATGGACACAATATCTTTATGTATTTTTATGTGGTGCCAAGGGTTAAACCCAGTGACTTACATGTGCTACACAAGGAGCTACATCCCCAGCCCATAGCATTCTCTTTTACAGTACTTAAATAAATTTTTTTTTTAAATCTTTGCTTAATTGTGCCTTTACACTTCTGTCAGCCTCTGGATTTAGATTCCATCTTCCAAAGAACTCAAAATCTTTCAAATATTCTCAGTTCTGTTTCAAATAGGGAAAATCTGAAATGCAGAAAAGTTAGGTAATTTGCCAGAAATTTAATAATCAGTGGTAGAAGTTGAATAAAAACCAAGGTCTTTTATTCATGTCTAGTCCATTGCTCACCTATCAGATGAGTAAAGGCTAACAGGAGTCTATTATATACTCTACAGTTGGCTGTGKTTTTTTTTAGACACATAATTTAGGTAATTGAATTTAAAAACTATAATTATCATCTGGTGATTGAGATGACTTATTCACAGTTTAAAAGAAAAAGATTCAGAACAAACCCAAGAACTCATAATTCTCCAAAGTAGTCTCTTATAAAGAGCTTGGCAGTATTATATCTTATGGTACAGGATGTTGGAATTTGTTCATGATGGGATTGAAATCTAAATTCAAAAGTCTTGCTCTGTTCATTTTTTTAAAATGTCAAATGTTCTTAATTCCAAAATTATGTTTCCCTTCAAGATAACTGAATATTGATCTTTTGAACAGGATGTTTAAAGAATGGTGTGAGCTATGCTTAAATTGTGGGCATGTTTTGAGTCACAGATATCAGAGAATGTTTGTAACTCAGAGTGAAATTTTACTGACTCTGATTTTAAAATTAAGCCTAAAGGGAACTAAATATAGTACTGCATATTAGAAAATTGTTATGTTGGGAATATAGTGTTAGCAATATACCTCTTACTGTCCCTTAAATTATCACAGAGGAGCTCCTACATCCACGTATGTTTATGACCAGCCTTTCTTGCAGTTGGGCTTTGTTGGAGAAAGCCATGAATCTGTGAGGTCTAACTTGTTTGGCCCAAGAAACCAGTTACTTAAAGTAGGGAATTTAAGGAATGAGAAGGGGAGCCTAATAGACTCAGAATTTTTCATCTCAAGCCAGAAGCCCTCTATCACACTAACTCCATAGGAATAGGACAGTATGAAGTCAGCTGTTGACACTAATGGGAGGCTGAAAGGCAGTGCTCTTCTCCTCATTGACCTGACATAATACCCCTGTGCTCTGGAAATCAATTGAAAGCCATAGTCACAGTTACCATGCTTGGAACTTCCTTTTGTGGCCTAGGTCTCAGACCCAGTCCCACCTCTACTCTGGGCTGTTTTGACCAAATATATGAAGACAAAGCTGTTTCTCTTTTCATTTAGCCCCATTGGCACACAGAAGTCATGTGGAAGAAACATGAGTTATTGTAAGGATTCGTATAAGGATGACCTAGGCTTTTATGCCTGTTCAAGTTGAGGCTTTAGTCAGTTCCATTTCTGGAGAAGTATTGACTACACCTTGCTTTCCTCTTAGAACTTTTCTAGAGCCTCTTTCAATTCCTTTCAGCTGATCTTTTATAACCTTCATTTTGGAGTGAGTTAACATTATCCATTGCTTTTCACAAACAGTAATGCTGTGGGCACTGTGAACAKTTTGTTTTTAATTAATAAGGAAGAATTAAATTGTCCCATAAAAGGTATATGTAGAGCCATAATACATTTCAATTTTATTTATTTATTTAAATCTTGGGGCTGGGAATTGAACCTCATGCATGATAAGCACATACTCTACCACAGAAGTTACTGCTCCACCAAAACCTGAGGGTTCTCTTTTAACTGAACACACTGTTCTCAACCAAACCTAATTTATCCAAATCATTCCTATAATTCCTCCTTAGGGCCAGGCATGGTGGCACATGCCTCTAATACCAACAGTCAGCTCTGAGGCAGGAGGATTACAAGCACAAGGCCAGCCTGAGCAACTTAGTAAGATCTTGACTCAAGAAAGTAAAAAGATTTGGAGATGTARCTCAGAGATAGAACACACCTGGGTTTAATCTCCAGTAAAAAAACTGCCAAAAAAGTACCCTATTTGTACTGAAGAAGAAAAGGGATAAGGAATGATGATGTGTGTGTAAAGAAAATCTGTGTTGTCATTTCATGTGACCTGAGAGTTATATAAATAATTTGGTATTGTCATTATACATTACAATGAGGAATTATTTGCAGAACTATAACTTTTTAAATTCTCAGATTTCTGTACTGAATGGCCAGCTGCACTAGACAGTGATGAGAAATGTGAGAAGCATTTTCCGATTGAAATTGACACAGCTGATTATGTTTCATCAGGACCATCTATTCGAAACCCTAAAGCTCGAGTAGTAACCTTAAGGGTAAGAGATTTGTTAAAAAATAAGAATCATTAGAATACTRTATTTAAAAATACATTTTGTAATATGATTACAAAATAAATACATATTTGTCATGGAAAATATAGAAGTTTTAAGTTACAGAATAAAATTGTCTCTARTTCTCCCATTCAAAAATAATAATTATTAATAAGTAGCTCATTTTAGTATAAATACAGGTACCCTTTGTATATTTTAATGGGATGATACCATGTATGTTGTAGTAATCTGTTCTTTTTCACTTATTAAGAATTAAGCAAAAAATAATAATAATTCCTAGTGATTTATGTTTATTTTTTATTTATATATGAGAGTGGAATGCATTACAATTCTTATGTATATAGAGCACAATTTTTCATATATCTCTGATTGTATACATAGTGTATTCACACCAATTTGTGTCTTCATACATGTACTTTGAATAGTAATGATTATCACATTCCACCATCATAATAACCCCATGCCCTCTCCCTTCCCCTCCAACCCCTCTGCCCTATCTAGAGTTTATCTATTCCTCCCATGCTTCCACTCCCTATCCCACTGTGAATAATTCMCAATATTTTTAAGCATTCTTTAATTTTATAGTTAATGGCTACATAATGTATATGTGAGCATCTCTTATGTGCCTCGACAATGTTTTTGAGGTTGGGATGCAATGTGCTGTTTTGTTATTGTTGTTGTTGTTTTGTAGTGTTGGTATCAAACCCAGTGCTTTATGAATACTAAGCAAGTACTCTACCACTTGAGTTACATCCCAACCCCAATAATATTCTTTTATGGAAAAAGTTGGAAGCTAGGCGAACCTGCAAGCCACGGGCGGGCGGGTCAGGCCCAGCAACCAGCCAAGTGACTGCAGCTACACGCGCCGGCGGGGAACGCGGACCGGACCCACTAGGACAGGTCCGG